ATCAGCTTCCTAGCTTGCTCTGCTTTAGTGGCACCAGGCACCTGACTGTGCCGCTTGGGTGGTTGAGGAGAAACACAGACACTGGGGGACCTGCTGCTCGCTGTCAGTAGTAAGAGCTGAAGTGAACAACCCCCAAACTACTCTTGGTACTGAAACTGTTTTTCGGGCTGTCTGGCAAAGGAGTCCAATGAGGGCCAGACCTGCAGAGCCACCGAGGCAGCGGCATCCATCCCCTTCTGACTTTGCAAATGATTTGATGCAGAAGATGGACATAGTAGAAAAGATTTCATGACTGACTTAATGGAAGAAAGATGGGCTGAAGAAAAGACGTTAACCAAACCCAGTGTCACTGGTGGAGCTTGCACAACATCAGGCCCTGGCTATGCAGCTTCCCTGGTGCTCTCCTCCCTGCTGTGTCCTGCAGGGCCTTTTACGCTGCTCACTGTGGGTTTGCTTTTTTGCTGGTGTAAGATTCTCCTGTATTTCCATACTTGCGACCTGCAGGCTACTGGTTAAAAAAAAAATCAAAATAACAAGAAAACCCTGTGTGATCCAGGGGCCATGTGGATTTTGTTTCTTAATTGCTCTGTCCTGCTTATCCCACGAATTGTCTCCCGTCCCCAGCACCTTCCCTGCTCTGCAACCCTGGCCGTGGAGCCAGCAGATGGAGCTGCGAGATCTCTGGCACTGCACTGGGAAGCACTGGAACCAGTGACCTGCCAGCACTGGGGCGGGCCAGCCATCCCCAGAGGGAAGAAGCCCTCCTCCCATCCCTGTGCCCACCCATTTCCCCGCAGCGTGCTTCCCCCAAACCATGTCTGACATGGATATGGTCCTGTGATGAGCTGGTCTCTCACTGTGATTTTTCCAGTCTCGGAGCACTGGCAATGCAAGGCACAGGGCCTCAAACCCCTCCTAGCCCCCACGTCTGCCTGGAGGGCAGTGGTGCCACAGCAGCATGGCTGGGGACCCAGCCTGGTGCCCCCAGCAGGGACTTCCCCAGGAGGGAGTGCCAGTATGACCTGTCCCCCTTGGAGTGCACATCAGTGATGTCCCGAGCATTTTTGGCAGGGGAACAGTGGCTGAGGGAGTGCTTGAGACCTAAAGGGTCTCATATCTGAATGGACCTGTCTTCCTGGAGGATGTCTCTCCTTGCTTGGGGTGGCTGGGGCTGTGTGGCTTTGCTGGGGAGGAGGAGGATGGTCCTGCAGCCTGGACCAACTCCCTTCCCTCCTGCGTGGCTCTCCCGCAGTGGGAGCAGCCCGCCCTCTCCCTGCTGGTGTTATATCACGAAGCAAGAGACACAGCCAAGTTTCCTGCTGCCACTGCCCATAGCCCTTTTCTTTCCATGCTGAGGTTTTCCCAGCCCCAGTCATCATGTCTGGCTGTCTGCAGCCTCCCCAGCAACCCAGCTGCTGAGGGGGAACTCCCTCGCCTTCGCCTGGGAAGCTGACTCTGGTGGAGACCACATCCCTGCGGGGGTCCTTATTTTCTTGCTTGGGTCTCTCTGCTCTTTTACAAGGGCAGAGTCATCCCTCACCCCCCTGTAATGCCCTTGCACACACCCTGCGCTCCACCACCCACAGCCTTGCATGCATACGCTGCTTTTTCCCTGGTCCCCTCCCTGCTGCTGCCTGCTTGCCTGCTTGTCTCCTTGCGCTGTGCGTGCATGTCCCCTCCATCATGCAGCCCCTTCATCCCCTCCCCGTTGCTCAGAGACACCCGTGCTTCTCAGTCACAGCCTCATTTTTGGGCTCCTTCCAGGATACCCCTCTCTGACATGCAGTTGTGCCCATCTCCCACTTGTTTCTTAGCAAACCGCTCTCAAAGTGTGGCTTTTTGTGGCTCTTGACACTTTGGGAGCCCAGAGCAAGCCCCCATGGCTTGGCTCAGCTCAGCCCCTAGGGATGGTCAGCAGCGGCCAGGCCCCAGTTGGTGTGGGGACAGCAAGCCCATCCCGGGGAAAGTGGCTGAGGGATGAAGGATGCTATTTCTCCCCATGGGTCCCGGGCAGGTCCCGGCTGTCCCCCCTCATCTGTCTGAGGTTGGGCTCTGCTGCAGCCAACTCTCAGCTCATGCCTGACACTCACATGTAGCCAGGAACGAGCAAGCCTCACCCAGGGATGTTTAGTTGGCTTTTCGCTGCAGCCAGACTGATAAATTACTGTCTCCATGCCCGTCTCCCTGGAGAGAAGCTCTCACCACTCCGGCAGGTCTTGAGGTGCCAGCAAAGGCAAAGCCCATTCTTGTTGCTCTCACTTTTCTCCTCTGCTGCGCATTGCCAGCCCTCCCGCAGCCCAGCCACAGTGGCCACAGGGCACGAGGGGCTGGCACTCAGCAGCGCGGTGGCTTGGTGAGCAAGGGGCGAGGGCTGGGTTGTACAGGGGATTTCCCAGCAGAGCTATCGACAGGAGGCGGAGGAGAGTCTGCGTTGATGACTGATCTGTGGTAGGGCAGCAATATTTTTTAACTTGTCCTGGAGCTATTTAGGCTTAGAACCTACAGCTGAACAGTTTAATGCTCAGGGGACCATGCCTTGATTTTACTTTTCCCCCTCTCCTCCCCTTCATCCCTCTGACGTCTCTGGACATGTTAGCAGGCCCGTCAGCGAGCGAGCCAGACCTGCTGCCCTCCTCCTCCTCCCCACTACCAACCCAGAGCAGCCTGGTGCTGTTATTTCAGTTCTGTGCTGTAGGAAAATAGGGATCAATATCCCAGCTCTCAGCCTTGCATCCGGGCACATGGCAGGAAACAGTGCCCATGATTTTAAGCTGTCTCCAAAGGCTGGATCTTCACAGTCTGTGGTGCGGAGAAGAGATGCCCGGCAGAGCTGTGTCCCTGCCTCAGCTCCCATCTGTGCTTGCTGCAGAGCCTCTGCGGTGAGGATGTGCTCTCTCAGTCCAACCGCTAGTGGGGACAGGATGATTTTTCACCCCTTTTAAAGCAAAAGTTGCATATCTGTTATTTTTTCTGCATGTCAAGTGAATCCAGATTTAACTGCTATTCTCAGCATACAGGTTGCTGCACTCTCCTCCTCTGCTGCCCCATCTTCAGTGATGTGCTAAGGCTGTAAATAATTGAAGGGCAGGATCTCATCTGTTGCCGTTTTTTTTTGCAATTTGTATTCACAGCTGGTCAGGGTCTGTCTCAGCCCATGAAGCTGTGTGGGCCAGGGCTGAGCAGCCGTCGGGGTGAGGTACAGTGTGAGAATCCTCCTGGGAGTGCAGGCGTGCGTGGCAGAGACGAGCAACCAGCCTTGACCGACCATGTCCCTCTTGGAATAGAAACCTCAGGGCACAAACTCAGTATGTATCAAAGTTTTATTTTGTTCTCAGGAGGAAGATTACACAGAACCATCCTTACATGACATCGGATATTTTACAGAATGTAGTATCAAAAAAGAAATATATATATATATATATATATATAAAATATACCTTGCAGTTACATGACATAGCCAAGAGTACAGTTCTTAGTGTATCTGCAAGTTCAACCTTCCTTAGGCCTTCTGCTCCTCTACATGCCCTGCAAATGGCTTTTTGGACGATAGCAAAATGGCAGAGTGGCTCATTCACTGTTGACTCCTTCCTTGCATGGCAAAACCAAAGGAGGAAGAGGAGGACAGGCCCAAAGGAGGCTGAAGGCACTCAGAGAGGACAGCAGGCAATTTTTGCATGTGACCTACAGCTATAGGAGGACTTTGCTGGCAAGTGAAGGAGATGATGTCCCTGCTGAAGGAAGGTAAGCTCACCTTGTTCCTTGGTGGGGCTCACTTGCCCGCATGGGCCATACAGGGAGGTTGGGGAGATGTGAATACTTCTGGTGTGTTAGGTGAGTTGGGGTCAGTCTAGAATGACTTGGACACCTGCAATAGGCCAGCAGAGCCATGAACAAACACTGAACACCATCATTAACCTGTAAATCAGAAAAATCAAGGGCCTTAAAAGCAGTTTAAAAGTGACTAGGTTCTTGCAAGAATGAATGGACTTCCATGCAGGACTACCCAGGCCCCTAAAGAAGCGGTGAAACCCTGAGGAAGGGCATTTTATCTGAAATGATTCTGCTGAAAATTGCTTAGGTATAGTGGATGTGATGCTGCCTCATGTGTTGGAAAACTTTCTTTGGGAGGTCTGCTGTGGATGCAAACCATTCCAAGAGCTAGTCTGGGGGAAGGACTGGAGAGGGCTTGAGGTGATGGAGGGTTGGAGAAGTTTTGGTGGCTGGAGGTGAGGGTGACATTGAGTCCAAACCCAGCTCCCTGTCCTTGTGCCCTCTGTGGGGCACCCATCCCACATGGTGGGGTAAGGGTAACCCATTTGAGTTGGTGCCATCTTGGCAGCCATTAGCCTTCTAGCTATGGCTGAAGCTTAGGGCTAATGTGGATGCATCATCACATCCCTAGGGCCAGGTGGACATCATCTGAGATGCCATCAGGCAGGGACATCAGTTTACAAATAAAAGTAGTAGCAAACCCCCAGGGCTCTCTCACTACTCCTTGCAAAGAAAAGGTGGGGGACCTGCGAGGTCCAGGCATGCCCAGCTGGGTTTCCTGTGCTCTCCGTAGCCTCTGTAGCTCCTGCAGTTGCATTGCCTGAAGGGAAGATCTGGCTGGAGAGCCCCGGGGATGGAGGTGATTCTCTGTGCATGGCCCAAAGCTTTGGTGGCAGGGAAATGCTGCCTCCATCGCTGTGCCTTTGTCCTGGCTTGGAGGGGGAATCCCTGGGAGCGTGGGTGAGGTTTGGAAATGGGCAGCACAAGCTGAGGGCGCTGGCTGAGATCTTGCCCTTCATGCCCTTCCCTCAGCTCCCTGGCAAGCATTTTCTAAGAGCACAAGCGAAGGGACGTGGGACCAAGCAAAACAAATGACGTGGAGGGCTGGCAAAGGCCTGGCATGCGCTGAGCATCGTGGCTACTGCTTGCGAAAGACCAGAGTCTGGAGCATATTAAAACCCAACAACAACAACAAGAAAGGGAGGTGCGGCACCAGGCTGATTAGTCACTCATCTCTCCAGCTCTGGGTCCAGAAATGTCCATCTCTCTGAGGAGCCTGTTTTCTTCTCCACCCAGTCCACATAGTTGGAGACTTTGGTGTACACACCATATACCTGCTTGCTGCCACACTCCTCTGGGCCACCCCATGAGACCAGCCCTTGGGCCACCCACCTCCGGGTTCCTGGGTCCTGGATGACAAAGGCTCCTCCACTGTCTCCCAAGCAAGTGTCCTTCCCACCTTCATAGTAGCCAGCGCAGAACATGTTCTCGGTCACACTGTAGTTCCCCGACCGCGACTCGTAGCTGGTCTTGCACTCTGCATGCAGCACCACCGGCAGTTTGACATACTGCAGGATGTCAGACAGCGTCCTCATGCCCGAGCTGATGATCTCATCCACTGTGATGTTGGGGTTGGAGATACCCCAGCCAGCCACCAGCCCCAGTGTGTTAGGGTGAGGCCCCTCCAGCTCGTGCTCAAACTGGGGCAGGCAGACAGGCATGACATAGTTCCCCATGGTCACCTTCTCCTTCAGCTTGACCAGGGCGATGTCATGGTTGTAGTTCTGGATGTCAAATTCCTCATGGAGGATGATCCTCTCCACTGTCCGGTTGACAGCTTCCATCTTGTTCCTCACGTCATGAAGGGCCAGGTAGACGGTGACATGCTCCTTGGAGACGGGGATGACAGTCTTGTCTCGCCGCTGGGATCGGAGCACGTGGGCGGCTGTCAGCACCCAGGAGTCTGAGAGAAGGGCCCCACTGCCAAACCATTTGTCGTTGGGCACCCGGGACATGTCCTCCACGACAATCAGGGCCTGCCAGGGGAAGAAGCCAGGCTCTGCGTTTCGCCCGCCAATGATGCGCTTGATGATCCCAGGCAGAGGACGAGCCGGCCGGCCACACACTGGGGACAAAAAGGACAGGACAGTTACTCCTAGCACCTACCTGGGGAACAAATGAAAACGGACATCTCTGTAGATTATGCCACATGGCTGGTTATCTTCAAACCAGATGCTCACTTGTGTCTTTTTTTTCCATGGAGGGCAACGCTTCTCCCTTTCTTGGTGGATAAAGCTGATCCTCTCTGCCATTTTCACCTTCTCCTGGCAGAGTGTGCTTCAGAGCTTGGAGCATGCTGGTCCTTACACCCCATCCCCTATGCTAACAGGTCTTTGGAGGTGTATGTGTGGGAAAGGAACGCATCTGTCCTTCTGAAGGATTTTGCTTCCTAAAGGCAGGCCCAGCTTCTTTCGTGTCTTCCTTGCCTGGTGAAACCATTTCTGGTGGCATCAGTTTGCCCTCCTGGGAAAGGGGCAATCTATTACTCTTCCATGAGGATAGCGGGGTGACCTTGTTCAGCCCTTGTGAAGCTAGTCATGGGCAAAGAGGCCAGTCTGAAGCCTGCATGGGTTGTCCATTTTCTTCTGTGGAGTAGGAGCCACCTTATGTTTCTCTAAGCCTGATAGCTCAGAGATGAGACCAGGAGACCTCAGTACTAGTGCTGCATCTGTCACCAACCTGCTACATGACTTTGGGCTCTTCTCCTCTCTCTGCTGTCTGAGCTATTCCAGCAATACTTTTGGAGCACAGAGCACCTTTCTTTGCTCCCAGCTCCAGGATAACTGGGTCCAGCTCTTCAAGAGTTAAAAATAGCCAGACCAGGCCCTCTGGATGTCCCATGCTTTCTGAGGCTGTGGACAATGAGGCGTAGATTAGGGAAGCGTCTTGTCTATGGGTCAGTAGAACATGTTGGTTTTCCAGGATTTGGCCTCTCTTTCCCCAGGTGCCCATGGAAACCCCAGTCTTGGTGTCTGCTCCCATGTGGCACCCTGGGAGACCCAAGGGAGGACCTCAGAAAGCTGTCCCAGGAGGTACCTCTAGGCCTTTGGCATAATCTACCTGCAATGATGAATGCATGATGCTCAGCACCATCCATCATGTGGTCTTGTCATGAAGGGAGGTAGAGAGCCCTTGATGAAAAGGGTGGGCTTTTGCCAAGGTCCTGTGTGCTGGAGAGGCTGGAGGATTTACCCTGCACAAAACAGGCTCATCTAATGTAAAGAGTGAACTATTGCCCACTGGGAATGATATGGACAGTCAGAATTGTGTATAGCATACTATGGGGCCATGGAAGTTTTCGTCCAGGGTTAGCTACCCCAAAGCTGTACCAGATCTCCTGACACTGAAGCCAGGCACGGATTCAGCAAAACATGTGAGCCAGGGTTGGACTTCAAGAACTCTAAGTAGTATCAGACCTTATGCTCGGTTTACACCTATGTGATCTGTGCTCCAGATGGGGACCATGGTGCTACCAGATTCCTTAGGGAAGGACAAGTGGAGGGATCCTTCTGCTTGCTCAGCACTTCCTACACCATTCAGCTGCTTGTCCAGCTCCTGCTCAGTGTGCCAACAAACCCAGGGGAACACTGGTGGGAGGACTGGACCCTGGCATCAGCCCAGTCTCACCCCGCACTCCTGAGACCTGTCACAAGGTCTGTAGTCTCATGGCCATGGCATTTGCTCTCCCGGAGGAGCTGTAGCTGGAGAAGGCTTGGCTGTGGGATGTTGTTTAGCACCATGGGCTTTACTCCTGCATCTCAGGTCCTCACCACAATTCTGGCAGGTCTGACCCCCCCAGGGCGATGGGATCTGGGATTAGAGTCAGCCTTGCAACCAGGGCAGGACCACCAGGAGCTGCTAACATGGATTTGTTGTGGCTGGGATCTGCCACTTGGAAAACTGTGACTCCGGCAGGGAGGGAGCATGGTGAATGTCCCTGCATGTGCTCCACTCCCCTGCCTTTCCCAGCTCTGCAAGGAATAGAAATGTGCTCAGGCAAATAATTCCTGTGACCCAGCCCAGCTGGTCTGCTGCACCAAAGCTGATGGCTGTCCCAGGGAGATGGTTTTAGAGAAAGTGCATCCAGCCAAATATTTATTCTATTAAATTACATATCAAAACCACTGACCAGGCTGCAAACGCTCCCACTAATGGCAGAGGCAGGGGCGGAGTGGCCTGGAAGAGGAGTTTCTATTGATGGGGAGGTGGCGTGAGACACGGGGACAGATCTGAAGAGCAGCTGGCCAGCTGCTGCCTGCAGATCCTGATCTCAGGAGAGCATCACCCTCTCTCTGGGATTTTCCATTTTCCTGAAGTCTCTCTGACTTCTGTCATTAATCAGGAGGCCTGGAAATGGCCCATGAAAATGGCTATGGCCCCAAAAGATGTCCCCGTATGCTCCCAGCTCAAATTAGTTCAGGCTGAAACATCAAGGAGAGATGCAGGGAGCAGTCACCGCAACAAGGGCAGCCACAGCCCTGGTCTTGGAGCTCCATGGGCTGCAGGGAATCTCAGGGGGTCCCTCCTCTGGCCTCGCAGGGGCTCAGCATGGCTGGGAGCAGATACCCTCCGTAGGGCTGAGCCAGATCCTGAGCCCTGAGGTGATTGCAGCTGCAGCTGCTGCATGGTGACTGGATCCCTGCACCTCTCTGGAGAGCCATCCCTGCACATCTGACCACAACCCGCACCCGAGACTGCTCCAGCTCCCCCGCCTGGCAGCCAGACCTGGCCCCATGCTTGGTTATGGCCAGCCAACGTCCCAGGGACTTGTGTTTAATCCTGAATGGGCGCCTGGCCTGGAAACTTGCTGGCTGCAAACATTTCTGCCACTGCTCAAAGGCTTGGGACTTCTTCCCTATGGAGCAGCTGGATTTTTCTGCAAGGCGCAGAGAGGTGCTAATTGCTTCTGCATGTGGACACACTGCTAATGGGAGCTGACAGCCAGCGGCACTGGGCAGGTAACGCTCTGCCCTTGGCTGGAGCCATCTCTGATGATGCTGGGGGCTGAACATGGCCAGTGAGCTCTGCCCTGGGGCTGCTGGTTTCCTTGTCTGCCAGTGTGGGGAGCCCTGACAACCAGGATGGCTGTGACCTCACTGCTGCCCTATACTGCTAGGGAGATGTGGCCTCATCGCTGCTGCCCACTGCCACCTCTGCACCCTGATCATCTGGGCCATCTGGGGTGGCAGGAGGCCTCTGTGCCCATCACCCTCCCGGCCATACATTGCAGCAGTTGGATACCTATAGCCAAGGCATTGTCACCAGGGTCCCTGCCTAGGGAAGCAGCAGGTCAGGTCAGGCATGGAGGTGTCCCCCCTGTCACGTCCCTGGTCCACACTCCTTGCTGCGGGAACTGGCTACCCCAGCACTAGTACCTGGTTGGCAGGATGGTAGCTTGGTCCCCAGCTCCTCGCTCCTCCACACCCCCGATGCATCACACGTGTAGGTGGCTGGAAGAGAGCAAAGCATTATCTGGGCTGTGGCCCTGGCATGAGGGGGTGTCTTTTTGTGACAAGATGTTGCCCAGCTGTCAGGACCCTTTGAAACCTTTTCCAGAGCAGGATGTGAGGTCCTTTTTAGGCTCTCTGTGCTCCATTCCCTGAGGGGTCCTGGCAGCTCTGCCCCCATGCAGGGGACATGCCACCATCCTCGGCTTCATTGCCTTGAGTTGTCTGGAGGGCTGTGCTGCGTCCTCAGCCTTGGCTGGTGGCTGCCACCCCATTAATGCTGCCAGTGCCCGTTCTGCTGATGCCTGCAGGATGCTGGGACCAGACACATGGGGCCAGCAGGGATATGAGCAGGGAGACAGGAATCTGAGGAAATTCTTTGGCTTTGTTTGCTGAGGGAGGAGGCGGAAGAAGGGCTGGGGTGTGTGCACACCCCTTCTGCTGCCCAGAGCTGGGTCCAAAGGGTGCAGAGACCTGTGCTGTTTGGCAAAGCACCTTGTGGTATCTCTGTAGTTGTGGACCAGGGGAATAAGGGGGAAACTCAGTCTGCCATGATCCCGCTGCTATCTGTTCAGCTTTGGCCACACTGGATATTTGGTGCTGGGATGGGGAGCCTTGTGGAGCCCTTTCTGAGGCTACTGGACCTGGCACTCTCTCCAGCAGCAGCTCGTTTCACAGAGAGACAGAAAATTTCATATGCTGTCATATGACAGCATTTTACATGCTGCAGGGAGCAGATGGCAGGGCAAGAAGGCAGAGCACAGAAGAACAACCACACTGCTCTGCCGGGACTCTGAGGCAAAGCACCAGGCAGCCTAACTCCATCCTACCTCGTTGCGGAGCAGGATGCAGCCAGTCTGACAGTCCAGGCAGGGCAGATGCAGTGTGTGATGTGTGTAGGCTACATCCACAGCCTGCTGCATGCAGAGCATCCTGGAGTGGCTGTCCCAAGCTCCCCCCACTTGCAAACACACGCATGTGTGGCCACGCGCCCACCCGCACCGTGCCGTGGGGGTGCGGCCCGGCCCCACTGCTCACCAGTGCTGTTGGGGGCCATGTGGTAGTAGGGGTGCTGGCAGTGGTACTGGATGGCTGCTCGGTAGGTGGTCAGGTTGTTCCTGGAGGAGAAGGTGACAAAGCCATGCTCCAGCTCCAGCGGCGCTTTGCAGTCAGCAACTGAAAGCCAACACAGAAGGGGGGGTTGAGCGCTGTGCTGTTTCTTGGGGTGTCCAGCCAGCCAGCAGGCAGGTAATGCTGGGCTTTGACATGTGCCAGTGGTCCTGTGGAGCAGAGCGAGGGCCCATATAGTCCTGTATCCCCTTTCTTCAGGGCACTGCAGGGGGCACCGCCTGACACGGCCCCGGGTAGCAGCAGGAGGCTGTCCCCAGGCAGGGCAGCCTGGGCCCATGGAACCCCACCATGGCCACCCTGCAAAGATGGCACTGAATGCCAGCAGCACGGCTCACCCACAGGCTCTACGGCCAACACCACTCACGCTGGTGGACACCCCAGTCCCGCCGGGGGGAGACCAGGAGCTCCTCCTATGCACTTCATTTAGTGCCAGATGTCTCTCCTATACCCTTGAAAGGGGAAGAAACCTGCTCTGGCAGGTGAGATCCATTGAGAGATGGTCCCAGGGTGTCTTTGCATCCCTTAGGAGTGGGCAGGGAAAAGCGGGCAGTGATTCACTGACCTATGCCGTGCATCAGGGGTGCTCCTCTGTGCACAAGGCTTGACTGAGAGCATGGCCCCGTCCCTCCTGCTCTGGGTCTTGCTCGCCAAACAGTGCTGATAAGCATTTACAGGTCAGGCTGAGCAACCCCAGGTCCTGGCTGTCCTGTGAGAGCAGGAGACAAAGGACATCAAGAGTGTAGCTTCTCTGGTCTGCAGGCAGGGGGAAGGCCAGCAGATGTGGGTGAGACCCCACCTGCTCCATCCCCCAGGACGTGGGCAGGTTTGGCTCTGCTTCACCCATCCCTGGTGTGGGCTGAGGGTCTGAAGGAGGGATGAGGATTTCCAGGGTGCTATTGTCCTGCCCCATGGCCTGTCCATGGTCCCCTTTCTCCCCCAGATCCCTCACAGCGCCCTGCCCAGCCTCTCCTCCCAGCTTGTCCCCTGGATTGGGCTTGTGCCACCTACCCCAAGAAGGACCCCAGGCTGTGAGGTCGTTCATCTGCCAAAGCCAGGAGTTACCCTGTAGGATCTGCAGCTCCCCGCCATGTGGGCAGTTCACAACACGCTCGGGTGATGCTGTGCAGCCTCCCCCTGCCCTGACTTGGGGCACCTGCCCTGTCCTGGGGCACCTGCCCCAGGGGAGGGCAGGAACCAGGATCTGATCCTGCTGGGAAATGCAGTGCTGTGGAGCTGGGTTCTCCCACATTTAAGATGAGGGGCTGAGTAGGGGATGGGTGACTTTGCAGAAGAAGCAGGTCCTGTGGACCAAGGGTGATGTGAGCTCTGTGGGTCTTCGTGTGATCCAGGATGGGAAGAGGGCAAGGACAGGAGCCCTAACTCCTCACGCAGTGATGCAGGCTAACGAAGACAGATTTCACTAGAATCAGTAGCTGGCACCAGAGACATGTACTGATGCTCAGGGTTAACCATCTGCTTGGGTGAAAAAAGCCTGGTTTATGGCAAAACGCTGCAGGTCACTGTTCACTAGGGTCCCCTCCATCTCCCCTATAGGGACAGCAGGTGATGGGATGGGTGTGTGGGTGCAGCCAGGTTGCGTGGAGGCTCCGAGTACCTGTGCCTTGCAGAGGGGCTGGGGAGGGGACACAGACCCCTCTCAGCAGCTCTGGGGGTCCCTGGCTGGCCTGAACTTTCCTGCTGTCTTCCCACGGTGCTTGGGGCACAGCACTCCTGTCTCATGGTGCCAGCAACCATGAGACCTTTGTAAGGTGCTGGGGGATGCTGGGGCTTGCAGGAAGGAAGGAATGGATGTTGGGGGACCAGCCTGGCTTGCACATCTGCTCTGGGGTTGTTTACGGCTGCAGGGCAGCACCCACTGGGCTCCACAGCCTGTCCCCTCCCTGTGTGTCCCCCAGGCCTGGGGCAGACCTGATGCCTGGAGAATGGACTCTTGCACAGAGGTGTTGCCCCACCAGTGTCCTGGGTCCTGCTGACAGGGTGAGGGGAGGAAGTTTGTGCCATGAACTTTCCAGACTTTTGCCTTGGGAAAGGGGCCACTTAGCATCTCTCTCTTTGTAGGACCAGAGGCGGTCCGAGCTCCCCAGTGTGTACCTCCTCCTCCTCCTCTCCCAGCCTCTGGTCCACATCTCAGCATCCTCCCAGTGAAGCCTCCGATGCCTTGGGAGTCCAGGGTGCATGCCCTGGCCTCCTGGGGACATGAATGGGGCTAGACACCAGGCTCTGACCTCCTTCAGCTGCAGTCAGCCCAAGGCCAGCCCGTCCTCACCTCCACCAGGCCCGCAGCGAGGAGGAAAGGGGAGGCAGAGGAGCATCCATCCCCCTGTGCCAGTGCCAGGGCTCGGTGCCTGCAGGAAAGGGCTGGTGGTGCCAACCCATCCTCCAGACCTCCTTGCCCGGAGGGTCTGAAAGGCACCAGGACTCTCAGAGAGGAAGGAGTGTTTCTTATTTGTGATGCTGGGCCAGGGAGGAAAGGCAGCAGGAGGCTGAATCCAAACAAACAAACAAAAAACAAACAAACAAACAAACAGGCGGCCATGCCGCGCTCCTTGCGCAACCGCCACCTTGGAGGGGGAGCCGAGCCGGGCCGAGGCATCCGAGTGGAGAGGGAGGGATGCGGAGGATGTGCCGGGAGCTGGCAGCAGTGCACGGTCCCCAGGCAGTGGTGCCGGGGCTGGGCAGGCACCCTTCCCGTGGGTTGGCGCGGCAGCGGGAAAGAGGGGCTTGACTCCAAATTTCCTTCCCCCTTTTCGAGACGGAATTAAGAAAGCACCAGGCGTGGGGTGGGGTTAAGAGTGCCATGCCGTTAGACAAGCCATGGAGATGGATTTGGCAGCCGGGCCAGGGGCAAAGGGGACCTGCCCTGGGTACCGGACAGATCGGAGAGGGGCATTGAGACAGGCTGCCCATCGGGGCGGCATGGCCGGCGCCAGCCTCACACGGCCACTTGCTCGGAGCCGGCTCTTCCCTCTGTCTGGTTGTCGGCTCTATCTGCAGCTGCACCGAAAGCAGAGGGGAAGGAGGAGAGCAGAGAGAGAAAGCCCAATTAGTAGACCAGCAGAGAGAGGCATGCAGGAAACCCAGCCCCCAAACCACCAGAAATCGTTAATGAGCGCCTGGCGAGCCGTGCCAGGGTGCCGCGGATGCCGGCGGAGCCACGGCCGTGCCAGGGACCCTCTCACTCTACACGACCGCGGCGAGCTGGGGACAGCAGCTGGGAGAAGCCGTCACGGGGTTGTGTTTAGCCTCGCCAGGCCACGGAGCTGGATTTTATCCACCTTGGCTGAGAAGTTTTCTATTTTCTGCATTGCTTTCTAAAACCGTTTTTGCTCATGCCCTGCCTCTCCCAGACATCCCGGGGAGGTGGGAGGCATTGCTGTTTGGAGGCCTGAATTGCCCATTTAGGGGCTTCTTGGCTTTCCCAAAAAAGTCTTAGAAATTTAGTGTAGTGAGTCATATCATACAAGGAGGGGCCAGTTCCAGCCTGGCTGGAATAATGCAGGTAACCATTTCAATCTTTTCCAAACAATAATACTTTTTGGGGTTAAAAATATTTACCTAGATTTTTGTTCTTTTTTTATTAGGTAATGCCAGTTTTTATGTGATCTCTGCTCGAGCTGGATAAAATCAATGGGAGACTGCGGTAGTGAGAGGGGTAGGAGTGGGGAGTTCCTTGGTAGGGCAGAGGCATCACTAACCCCACACTTTCTAAGGAGCCCTTTCAGATATGAATCCATTTAGCAGGTCTGAGAGCCTCCTGTTTTCCATTTTGAGTGAGAAAACGTGAATTAAAGCTCCAGAAATATGCTCCTAAGGTAAGATCCACAGTATCTTTAAAAGAAAAAGGATCTGCCCAGATAGGGAGAGCCTGGATCCCAGCACCCCTTGAGAGCACCCTGTCCTGCCTCTCCTGGAAGGTCATGGGACCTTCTCTGAGCATGTTTGCTGCTTTTCTTCTCTCTGGGCCAGCCTTACAGCAGTGAGAGCCTCCCTGAGGGCTGAGGGTGTTTGGGGGAAAGGCAAAAGGTGTAACCAGGTACATCTCCCAAGCCTGAGCTGAGAGAGGAGCTGGGTTAGATGAAAGAAGAGATGATGGAAATCCTTTCAAATGGCACCTCCTTTCTTCTCCTCTTTTCTGCCATTTTAAGGTTCATAAATATTTGGGCAACTTTTCTCTCCCCTTTCACTTAGCTGACCAGCGGCCAGTTTAGGCTGGCGCCTGGGACCTCTCTACCGCTCTGGGTCTTAGTAGCTTCCATTGGGAAGGAAATTTGGAGCAAGAGTCAGATCAAACCAAATTGTCCTGGATTTATCCAACAGAGCCAGCTCTCAAGAGCCAGGCTTGCTCTTTCCTTGACAGGGAGACAGCAAAGCAGCTCACAAATGAGGTTATATGAGTAATCTAAATAAAAGCACCAACCTCCTGCTTGTGGCATTTGGAGCGAGCCCTGTTACGTTATCCAAGAACGAGCCAAAAGAGCTTTGCAGTTATGTAGCCTCTCTGGCTGGGTTTGTGTCTCTGAGTAAGGAATTCGGCTGTGGCAGGGCAGCTCCCTTTAGACAGCAGGAAAAGGATGTTGGCATGGTGGAAAAGGGTGTCCTTACTTTTGCAGATAGGGATCTTGTTACTCCAGGTCCCATCCTTTAGACACTCGATCTGGAAGGAGTCGCTTTCCAGGTTATCCTGTGCAGAAGGTGCCAGCAAAAAACACCATCAACGTACAAGGCAAGGAAATTTCTCTCTCCATAAAATGTCAGTTTTCTGGTGATTTAGTCAAGCTACATCCAGACCCTCCCAGAATAGGACTTTTCTAGCTAAAAATTGCAATAAAATCATAATGAAAAACTTAAGTTTTCTTGTTGCCAGCAACTCAGTGGCATGCTGAATGCAAAAGAACTGGAGACATTTGTTCCTATTTTAGGTGCTGGGTTAGGTAAGGAGGCAGCTCTGCATGAAGGGTGAGTCTGGGAGGAGATCAGAGAAATGCCCATGTTGGGTATTTTGCTCCATGTCGGAAGTCGAAGCGGGCTACTGCTTTGGAGAGAAGACAGCCACCACGTGAGTCACCCATGCTGCCCGTGGCTCTCAGCTGTTTCCTGGAGAGGGCCTGCCAAAATCCCGGCCTCCTTGACTCGCCAAAGCTGTCCCAAAATCCCACAGGACCTCCCAGTCTGTGGAGGCTGGCCCCTGCAGGGCTGCCCAGGGTGCTGAGCCAGTGCCCGCCGAGGTGGGGAGCAGGCAGAGCCCTGGCAGTTCCCCGGGGCTTTTGCTGACTTTTTCTCTGACAGAGGTGCCAAGTCTGGCATCCTGTGAGCTGGCCGGCTCCAGAGGGATGACGAGAGGGTGGCTCAGGAGAGTGCCATCTCCTCTCTTCCTCTGCGTCTTTGGGAAGGAAAGTTGGTGGCTCTCAGAGGAGGCTTTGTCCTTGCCCCTGGGAAGGGGATAAGGATGGTGTGTGGGTTGTGTTTGCTCTCCCAGAGATGCAGCGGCTTTGGGAGGAAGGATCCCCCCTTTCCTACCCAGGTGCCCAGCTCCACACCGTCACCCATACCTTCAGCACTTTGTATCCTGTGTTGCAGCTGATGACAACCTGGTCTTTGAAGGTGTACTTGGCTTGGGAAGGCTCGATTCTCCCATTGATCGGTGGTTGCACCAGTGGGCATGGGTTTCCTTTGAATAAAAAACAAATGATGCAAAACAAAACTCAGCTGAATAAAGCAGAGGAAATGGAGAGTCCCAGCTCTGCCACCCAATCCCCGTAGCAGGGCCTAAGCATCCCTGCCCTGCTCTTGCCATCAGCCTACACTGGCACGGCTCAGTCAGCCTCTTCTAGAAGGAGTGGAGGCTCTAGGTCTTTCCCCCAGTCCTGGGCTGTCCCTGGCATGTTAGAATCTAATAACAGTAGCTTGTGCAATTATCCTGCCCAAAACTGCTCTGCTTTGCAATGTGGTCTTGTTTCAGGGCCCATCTGGTATAAGGAAAAAAAGCACCCCTTGAAGGGAGGGCTCGTGTTATTTTATTCCTCTCGCCTTGTGATTTCTGGAACAGACCCTTTCTGGAGACAGGACCATGGACCACCAAACTCATGATCTCCACCTGGAGGGTTTATAAAGCCCTTCCCATTGCCCAAGCCCAGCAAAGGGGGGAAAGCAGCAGGAGTTACCAGTTGCTGTGTATGACAGCTTCCAGCCCCTGTTCTCTCCCGAGTTGTCACTGTGGAAGAGGATCTGCACGCTGTTGGTCTGGGTTTCAATGTGTCCCGGGGACTTCTCTCCACAGAAAGGGCCAAACTCCCTATGGCCAGCTTTGATCTGCCAAGCAAAGAAGAGTGCGTGGCTTGAGGGGGATCTTTGGTCCCCAAGGATTGCTTCACCCTGAGGCTGATGAATGGGGCTGCAGTGGGGTCAGTGGGGCTTAAGCTCTGTGTGTTGGGGGGATGTGAACTGAAAGAGGGTCACTGTTGGCTGAGAAGGCCAAAATCAGACATGGTAAGAGACACGGGTTCAACTGAGCACAGGGCTCCTGCTGGCTTCATCACCCCCATTTAGACCAAGGCAATTTTGGTCCCATCACCTGGGCACCAGGGAAATGACAGGAGAGCAGGACAGGAGGAGTGTTCAGAGCCCAGCTCACCTTGATGTAGTCATAAGGACAGGTCACCTCAGGGTGGTCTTCCACGTCGAAGCTGTCCTCAAAGCTCAGGGTGATGAAGAAGCCCTCCTCCAGCTCAATACGGTACAGGCAGTCCGAGCTCTTGGGGTAGGGGCTCGGGAAGTCGGCACTGGTGACCACCCCGCTCCTCTGGGTGTAGAGGTTGTCACTGCACTCCACTGAAACACAGCCGTGGCTCGCTCAGGGCCTTGCCAGCTGCATCCCAGCCCTGACCACTCTCAGGAGCCCTCCCAGTGGAGTGGGGTCTGCTGGGTGGTCCACAGACCCTGAATATGGGTCCATGCAAGGAGAACCTCACACAGTCAACCTCCAAATATGCCTGTGGCATAGAGGGTCCTGGGCTGAGAGCTAATCCCAGCTAACCTACATGATGCAGATTCAGAGCAGAGACTAAACCTTTTAATTTCTCTGACCTGAGGAGGTCTACAGAGCTTAGTGGAGGAGCACAGCCCATGGGAGAAACCACATCTCCTTCCCACACAAGAGGACTGAAGGCCTTGGGTGTTCTCCAGTCCCAGGCTATTGGTTTGTAAGGGAAGAGGCACCTCGTCCCTCCTGGCAGCAAGAGAGGGCAGTTTTGCCTGTGTTTGGTGGGTCTGTTGCCTGCTCAGGGACCCCTCTGTGTGACCATCCCCACGTCCGAGGTGTGCCTGGGTGGTACCTTTGCAGGTCCTGTTGTCGGAGTGGAGGATGTAGCCAAACCTGCAGGAGCAGTAGTACCCGCCGATGTAGTTGTGGCAGTAGTGGTCACACGCCAGCTCCTCATCACTTTTCTCCAGGCACTCGTCCACATCTAGGATGGAGATAACAAGGAAGAGAGGTCACCCTGCAGCTCCCCTGCCCCACCCTAGTCCTCATGGGGACATTTGCCACAGCACTGAGAAATGAGTTGTCCCATGTGGTGGGTCATGCGAGCACCTGGCGAGTCCCATATGGCCCAAGGGCTGCACACAAGGACTGCTCTTGCTAGGGTCCCCAAGGCTGGCCTAGGATGTCATCCTAGCAAATTTGTTATGCTACCCTGGCAAGCTGGTCCTGCAGGCTTAACCACTGCTTACCCACGGCAGTGTAATGGGCATCGAAGCCAGTGAAGCGTTCCTCATTGGAGAAGTCCGACCTGAACGTAAGCCCCATGTAGGGCCCTGGGGACAGGATCACTTGCTGTCCGGGAGCCTGCTCTGTGTCGGTCGTCTCCCTGCCGCAGAAGGTTGCCAGCTCCTGGTCCTCAGCTTCAATCTGTGAGCAGAAAGAACGGGTGAGCGCTCAGCAGGGCTTGGGACTTGCCCTCTGGGCTCTGCTGAGCACTTGGATAGTGCAGGAGTTTGAGATGTCTCTGGAGTGCTCCCCAGTGCTGGTCACCTCTGAATTTTCTCTGTGTGGGGCTGTGGGTGTCTGTGAGCCTGGACAGCCCGTGGTGCTTTTCTGGGGGAGGCCAGGCTGGGCTTGAAGTCATGCTCTGTGCCTGAGAGCTCAGGTCTCCCTGTGCTTGCCCAGCCTGTCCCCTGCCAGGGTTCAGCACTGTCTCCATGGGCCAGCCTGCCTGTCAACCACCCACAGCCTAAGGATGCAGCTCTGCACCCCTGGGTGCCCCATCCTGCTCAGCCCAGCATTGCGTTGGCCCTAAAAATCAATTTCCAGCCATTCCCACTGCATTCACCTCACCTCCTGCAGCCAAGCGTGACCCTGGGGATGCTCATGGGGATGCATGTCAGGTCTGCCTCTCACTGCTCCGGCTCTCTGAGATGCTGTTACTGCAGTAAAGCAATTAAACGTTTCCTGCACAGTGAACACCGGGGCCGAGGTCTGCCTGCTCCTGTCTGTGGTCACCCTCTGAAGCAGATGCTGAGGGAGCAGGTAGCATCTGGGATGTAGGGAGGAGCTGCAGGGTGTAAGGGGAGGATGCAGGGAAGGAGCCTGTTTGGGAGGTGGGGTAAGGACGTGGGCAGGCAGCGCAGAAGAATAGAATCATAGAATCATAGAATCATAGAATCATAGAATCATAGAATCATAGAATCATAGAATCATAGAATCATAGAATCATAGAATCATAGAATCATAGAATCATAGAATCATAGAATCATAGAATCATAGAATCATAGAATCATAGAATCATAGAATCATAGAATCATAGAATCATAGAATCATAGAATCATAGAATCATAGAATGTTTTGGGTTGGAAGGGACCCCTAGAGGTCATCTAGTCCAACCCCCCTGCAG